TTTTTTTTCTGGAACACGAGTAAAAATTGTGGAAAAAATTGTTTAAAAAACATTTACAATGATGTGTATGAATATCAAAGTATGGACTATTTTAACACAAATCTGTTCAAGTATATACTCGGGGATGTGTGCGAGTTTTTACGCTGACACAAGGCTTGTGAAATCATTTGACCCAGTTCCCGTATAAACTTAAGCTTGTGTATTTTTTTTTTAACTGTGAAGAAAAAATACTCTTGATTCAATCAGATTTTTGCTGGAATCAAAACGAAATCCGCTTAAATTAAGAGGCTTGGTTCTTTATTTAAGCTAGATTCTGACTGAATCAAGAGTACTTTTTCTTGTCGATGTTTTTAAGAGTCTGGACTCTAGATCCAATGTGTTTTTTTCCAGTAGTCACCTCTCTCTATAATTACCACACGTGAGCATTAAACTATTTCCCGACAGGGTACTTAAAGCTCATTTTTTCCTCACTTCGGACACTATTTGGCTCCTGCGCGGGGGGCACTTGTGCAATTTTACGGTTCAACCGTTCCTCTTTATTGGTTTTCTGCGTTGATGCCGCTTCAACTATATGTCACGCCATCGGCTGCATATTCAAATACCCCGTGTGCTTCCCGACCAAGTTGGCAGCATGACGTCATCGTTGATCCGTCAATTGGTGTTTGAAGTTCCCTGTTCCGCAGTTGATTGGTTTATGGCATCCGTCACTGTAATTGCTTGCCGAATCTTCCGTTTTGGGACCGCCGAAACTAGGCCTCGGTGGCATCGCGAGACCCAAGTCACCCATGCTTGTTGAAAGTAATAAGTCGAAGTTCGATGAGTCGATACCGAAAACGCAATAACACTAGAGGTTCTAAAACAGTGAGGTGGCTTGTGAGTACACGCCTTCGAAATTGAGAACGTCGTAATTGCCCGAGGAAAGTTCCAGGAATTAGGGAGACGCAAGTTTGCGGAAAAACAGTCAATAATAAAACATAAACAAAGTGCTAAATTCGCATGAGAGCTGTGAAGTTGTAAAGGAGAATTTTAAAATCACCATTTTAAAATACGTATACGTTGCGCGTATACGTTAAAGAGAAGTTTAAGGTGTTTCATATGACATTAGTACACAATTATTTCCTCCCTTAGAAAAAAAAGTTTAAAATCCCTTAATTCTAGGCCAGCCTCTGCTAGTTATTAATGCAACATTTTGGACGTTTAAAAATATTCAGTCTTCTAAATAATACAGCAGCAAAGCTCATAGATTGAAGAGCAATTGACATGAACCCAGAGCGGAGAAAAACAATTGTGGATCGAGTTTCATGTCTTTCTGAGGTTTAATACAAAAATCAAACTTCGAGCCAAATTTCCAGAAGTGGACATTTTTTGAATGCTTGATAGGGGTAAAAATGCTTCTGAGCAAGATTAAACTATCCACATCCTAATTTGTTTTGGGATGTCACTTGGTGCTCTTTAGAGGAAGATTGTTTGATGTGTACGCTAGAAAATGCTTAAAGGTATATATACCGAGTTTTTTCTTTACCAAAACAAAAACAAACAAAAAAATCTGAGGTTTGATAACGTCATCGTCAATGTATGATTCAAAATAGATTATATTGATGAGTTTTGAGGTTCGACAAGCAGATAAAGGGAATGAAGTAATAACTCCATGTAGGTGCTAACGGACCGGTCATTGGCACGAGTCAGTGGCCGCTAAACAATGTGTGTCCATTCATGTCAAATTCTTATCAATGCAATTTTTTTTTCGAAGCACGAGAGCGCCGCAAAGCGCTTCTCTTATCTAACGTTGTTGCATAACAATACAATTTATTTAAAGACTTGAACTACAGTTATATCTTTTGAGGAGTGTTCATAAAACCGACTTTATTGCAATGTGGAGCGTGCTATGCTATACGGCCAAAAAAATTAGAGTTAAGGTGTAACCGATAATCGCACCAAAGGAGATACATTTGACTGGATATATCGAACAGACCTCACAATTAGAGATAAAGGTCATTCTAATTGCCGCGTTCGTGAAATTGAGGAGCAGATGCAAAAGATAGAATGCAAGGGCACACACTGCGCACACTGAAGTGTGCCGAAGGAAGACTTGCTTTGCTCCAGTAGTCCATTAGTGGCGAGGCGTGAATGCATCGATAGCTCCCCATTTGAAGCTGTGGTAAAGAATTGATTATTTGCAAACACCTTGCTTATCGATTCTTTTCATAGGTTTAAATAGCAAAGCAATCGATATATCGCAACGTACGCCGGGCCACTAGTCCATGTGACTCCCTTCAACAGTTTTGAAAAGAAGGGAATTGCGGTGAAATGATGTGATAAACGCTGGGGTGATTCGTATTAATTGATTAACACTTACTTTACGTACTGTCGTGTTTTTTATTATTTATGATGGCTATGAGTGCAAAAGAGAAGCAAGTGGAGAGAAGAATAATATTTACCGTAAGTCAAGTGTAGAGTTCAAAAAAGAAGAAAATAAATAATGTCTCGAGTTCCGTCAGATCGGTTCCTCGTTTTAATGTAAGAGCCCAAGTTTTTAATTTGACTAGCCATTTTGAAGTCAGTGGTCTTTTGATTTCATTGTAATATTAATCCAGCGATTGCCATTAACATCACAATAATCACAATTGAAGTAAAATTAAGTTTGAGCCGTTTAGACCAAATTGTTACACTGAACTTGAAACCCCCTTTCAAGTTCAGCATTAAAAATGATACAGAAAACTTCAACTGAACGTATATATCTTCAATTGATCGCGACATTATTAGCTATACTGCAACGTTAGTGGAGTTGACTTAGCTTTAGCAGTCCAAACCTAGAACTAATAAAACTAGGAACTCGACAAATAAACGGTTGAAGCTATATTCAAATAAAAATAACTAAGGACAAAAAAATCATTGACTTGTACGCCCTCGCGGTGCGGCTGCATTGGAGCTTCTTGTTTTTTTTTCTTTGAAATGACCAAATATAGCTCCTAATTCAAGTTTAATGACAAAAGACGAGAGGGTCAAACCAACACAGCTGCTTAATTACTGAGATTGGGAATCAAAGAACATTCATCGATCAATTAGAGATAATTCATGGCGTCTCGTCTAATCAACGCTCATGAGTACGACGTGTTGCGTGATTGGGCCTGAAATGCGTTGTCAAAATGAATTATTTTTCGACTAATTCTAGTAAAATGTAAGCCTCCATGGAAATTGAAGTAGAGTGACAAAATTAGATGATCTAGTACAGGTTTGTTTGATGGTAAACTCTATAAGAAAAGAGAAAATCCTGTGAATGGTAAAGGCTCGCCAAGTCGAATTTATTTTCGATCCCTATACACGATTCGACTTGGCAAGCTTTTACCGTAGTACAGAGTCGATACATTAAAGGAAGATGTCCGGTCTGTATTAGAGAACTTTAATGTTTCATATACGCCTGGTTCTTAAGTTCACGGAGAAAAAAAATTCGTGCGTGGGACCCGAAGTTTAGGTCATATGGATCTAGCTGAAGTTTTCGAATTGAGCATCCGAAAGCTTAAGGTCCAGCTGCCGAAGTTTGGATTACACATCTGAAACTTCAGTTCTTACGTCTGAAGTACTTTGGTTTTTACATCCGAAAAACTTCGGTTTTCTCATCTGAAGTACTTCAGACGTAAGAACTGAAGTTTCAGATGTGTGATCCGAACGACGACAGCTAGACCTTAAGTGTTCAGATGCTCAATCTGAAAACTTCAGAGATCCATATGACCTGAACTTCGGGTCCCACAAACAAGGTTTTTTTCTCCGTGTACTATCTTCAGTGGCTGAAACGTTATTCTTCATCAATGTACGGTAAAATGCTTCTCGGTTACGTCAACTAAACTGTCTAGCGCCTACTTGACGTTCCATATGAGCATCCGTTTTATACGCATTCGTCTAGCAATTGACAAATTGAAGACGCGGAAACACAGGAGTAAAGGAATCATTGAAAGAAAATAATAATCGATGCTGATAAACACTGGCTTTCATGAGGTTTAGGGTTTCTCCATTATGGAGTCATAAGAATGTCCCTCTTGTAATGTATTCATGGCCAAAATTCCGTCTTCAGAAGAGAAAAATGTTGTGACTAGATACACCAAAAAGAATCCCGACAGCTCGGAAAACGGACATGT